TGGTGTTATTTATCTGTATCCATATCTAGCTTGCTAACTAGTTTCATTCATTATGATTGACTTTGCCAGCAGAAACCAAATTTAGTTAGACAAGTCTGAGGTATATCACACTCCATAAAGCTGAAATTGTAAACTCCAAAAAACTACTGAATATATTTTGTTTTGTGTGTGATTTGTTTACTCTTTCAGAATTTGAAAAGCAATTCTGATCTATGCTCCCTAACCATATAAACAGATTAAAAAATAAAATGGTAGTATTTTTAAGTATGCCTTTTGAGTCAAATGATATTGTAGGGTCTAAGGGAAGACAAATCCATTAACCCCCAGAAAGTTCTCTGAAAAATCATCTGATAAACACAAACTAATATAAAGAAAGGCACAGCAATTTTTATTATATCATAGTTTTATGCGACATGGGAGCCTTCAGAATGACAATCTAAAGATATAGGAAAAATTGTCCATACTTATGCTTAGGTTCTATAATGCAGGCTAATAATGCTAATAGACTGAGTGGGGAAACCCAGTAAGGCCTGTATATTCAGATTCTTCTTGGCCTCTCTGTGTAGTGTTTATTTATCCGGGATATGGGGCAGGACTCTTTCTGGAATGAGGGTCTAATGACCTCCAATCAAACAAAGTAGGTCAGAGCATTTCTTTATGGGACAGCTCCAAGACACAGAGGTGGGGGTAGATTAGGGTACATCCATGACCTGCCTTTGGGAAGAGGGACTCTAGTTTCTGTGGATTGACTCAGGGGAGAATGAGGCTGAGAGACAAGAGGGCAGGAGAAGGTCAGAGGAAAACTCTGCTTTTGAGGCTGCTTCTGAGGCCTTTACTTTGGGATATCACTTTCTGGGCCCCAACATATGTATTTTTAGACAATACTGGTACCTGTTTTTTATGTATTGAAATGTTAGGCCTATAACCACCTGGGAAGCATGGATTAAATTAGTATACTACTTTCTAAAACTACCAAATGGGATACTTGAAGAGATGAACTTCAAGCAGCATAGAAGACAACTTTTGGCTTTTTATGTTCAATTTTATGTCACTATATCACAAGTATCTACTTAATATTCTACAGGTGAACAAGATTGTACTAAAAAGTTGTAACTATTACCTAAAATGGATCTTAAGGATATTTCAAGTGTTATTTACTGTTACAATTGTTTTCTACCATGTAGTTAAACTGGAATTATCTTTGGTTATAAGTATGACTTTCACCTTTGTGCATCAGTGTCTTTGTTTGTGGCTTTTTACTGATTTCTAAAAATAAATTCAAGCCCACATACTGCTTTATAATTCCATCTCAGATTAAGCCCCATGCAGATGTCCCTTCCTCCATGGAGCATTCACTAAATCTTTCCCACTAGCAAACACTGTTCCCTCCTGTGTACTCATACAACACTTTGTCAGTAGCTTCTTATAGTTATTATACCATTATGCAGTATATTACATTCACTTGAATAATGGTTTTATTTTCAAGTCAGTCTATAAGCCTTGCCAAAGTATTTATGTTTTATTAGATTTTTTTGTTGCAAAGGCATTTGAACAGAACATATCTCATGTTGTTTGTCTCATCTGGAATCCCCTTTCCCTCCATGTATCCAAACCTTATCCTTTTTTCAAACTTCTGTTCAAATATTCCCCCTTCCTTAAAGATTTTACCTAAATTTCAGCCCATAGAATGTTCTATAAACATCAGTGAGACAAAGTTGATTGAATATGTTATTCTAGTTATTTGAGTCTTTACTGATTTTCTGTCTATTTTTAAAATCAATTAATGAAAAAGAGGTACTAAAATCTTTGGCCATAATTGTCTATTTGCTTTTTTCTCCTTTTAGTTCTATAATTTTTTTCTTCTTGTATTTCCAAGCTCTTTTATTACATATGTAATCATTTAGAATTCTTATTTTCTCTTGATGAATTGACTTCTTTATTATTAAGAAATAGCCTTCCTACCTCTGGTTTTATTATTTCCTTAAAAATCTATTTTGTCAGATTTTAATATAGCCACTACAACTTTCTTTGGATTAGTTTTAACACATATCTTATTCAGTTCTCTACTTTTAATTTATTTATGATTTTGTATTTGAATGTGTTTCTTATAGGCAGTAAAGAGTTGCCTATAAGTTGGTTTTACCTTTTTAATCCATCTGACAGTCTCTGCATTTTAATGAATTGGTTTAGAGCTTTTACCTTTAATGTGATTGTAAATATGATTGCATTTAAACCTATTGTTTTGCTATTCACTTTCTATTTGTTCCATTTTAGCTTGTTCTTTTAAAATTTTTCTAATTTTTCTATATTAAAAAACATTTTTCTTATGATTCAGTTTGCCCCATTGTTTGCTTGTTAGTTATAACTTTTTCTATGTTATTTTAATGGTTGTTTCAGAGCTTATAATATATACTTTTAACTGACCACAGTTAACCTGCCTGTGATATTATCCTTCCTCTTCTATTTCTTTATTCCTAGCCTTTGTGCTATAGTTGTTATACATTTTATGCTGCATGTGTTATAAATCCCAAAATACATTGTTATTATTTTTGTATTTAAAAGTCATTTATTTATAAAGAGATTTAATTAAAAATTTAAATATTTATATATTTATCCATGTACTGTCTATTTCCAGTATTCTTAAATTCTTTGTGTAGATATAGATTTCTACCTAGTCTCACTTTTTTTCTTTCTGCTTGAAGGACATCCTTTAAATTGTGTTTTACTGCAAGTCTGTAAGAGATGAGCTGGCAAATTTAAATCAGAAGTCAGGAAAGGTGTCACTAGAAGATCATGTTTGAGATAAGATGATGGCTACCTGGGGAATGTAAAACAAATTTAAAAATATGAGTGAATATGGAAGCTTCTTAAAATGAAAATGATAAAAAAAATCGTAATGAATGAAAAAATCTAATCACTGGCAAATCAATAAAATGGAGCAGGCTACACTGACTATTGACTGTTCTTGATCTATATCAAATCAGAAACAGCTTCTAACTGTCTTTAGTCAGTATGATAAGTCCCAATTTTTCAATCTATCTATCAATATGTTATTTTGAAAATTAAAATCACCATCTTTTTATATAGGTAGAGCTTATATCTGATTCTTGCCTTCTTCCAGAACATATTTTTCAAGAACTCTTTTGTGATCTACTTGCATGCAGTGAATAGATATAAAATGATTGAGAGGAAGGTGAGCAATTAAAATTTAATTTATTCTAAAATTTAATTTATCCCTGCCAGTGTTGATTTTCTTTCAAAAATAGAAGTTATTTCTCTGAAATAAATCAAATTAGAGCAGCATTTGGGATTCAATATTTAAATGCCATAGAGAGAATTTTATTCAACAGCTTTCATTATCATTAAGTCTTAGAGAGTATTTAGCTTCATTAAATCCCAAATTCTCATATTTAAAAAATAGCAAAATATAACTTTTTGTGCAGCACCAATGATTTACAACCCTAGTTGCACTGTAGAATCACATGCTGTCAGGTGCCCATTCTCCACAGTTTCTGATTTAGTTACTTTCTGGGGCATTGGTATTTTTTTCTTAAAGCTCCACTGGTCTAGTCATTGCTGACTGAAGCTAAGAGAATATTTCTGGTAGGAATCTTTATTATATAATTATACTGTAAGAAGTTGTTAGAGAGAATGTGGACCAACAGCATAGTGTCCCCTGAAAGTTTGTTAAAAACTCCTAGGCTCCACCCTTGATCTACTGAATCAGAATCAGTTTTTAACATTCCCAGATGTTTAGAATGAAATTTCACATTAAGAGGCATTGTTCTAAGATCTACCCCTCCTTTGGAAGGCACCATTCATCTCAGTTCCTGGACATAATAAGGCTCTTAGAGACATGTGAAATAGAGGTTTTAAAAAACTAAAAACCTAACTAAATTTAAAATAAACAACAAAAAAAGCACATAACACCAAATCATTAGTTTAGATTATTTAGATGTGGATTGGAATATTCAAGATTGAAATATTTAGCTACTCTATCAAGGTAGTCAGGTTATATGAACAACCAGATCATAATCAATTGAAAGTTTGCTTGGCCATCATGTAATTAAAACCAGAAGAGTCAAGTGCATCACCTAAATTGTGTGACACATTCCTCAAAATGGGAATCATCCGCCCTGCAGGCAGAACAGTCAACTCTTTGTATCCATAGGTTCCAAGTCTGTGGATTTAGCCAACTGTGGACTGAAACTATTTTTAAAAAAATTGTGTCTATACTGAATATGTGCAGGGTTTTTTTCCTCATCATTATTTCCCAAACAATACAATATAACAACTGTTTACGTAGCATTTTCTTTGTATTAGGTATTATGAGTAATCTAGAGATGATTTAAGGTATAGGGAAGGATGTGCATAAGTTATATGCAGATAATACACCATTTTATATCAGGAATTTGATTTTGATATCTGTGGCAGGTCCTGGAACCAATCTCTAAGTATACCAAGGAATTACTGCACTTGACACCTCTTGGCTGCAACACCCTGCTCTCACCCAGAAATAATAGAGAACTAGAAACAACACACTGGGAACACTCCCTCTGGAGACAGAGCTTTCAAGGGCTCTTCCCAATTTTGCTTTATTAATACCTACCTATTTTCTTGCTTTGCATGACTCAACCCACCTTTTTATATTTCTTTCTTTAGATATGTTAACACCTTTAAGCCTGCTACTTCCAAATTTTGCTGACCTAAGGCTTTTTCTGTCTCTCTCAATGAGACTGAGCAAACATACTTTGTGGTGGCTTAAATCTATAAAGGATAATTTTCTTTCCCTTATTTCCTAGTTGTTGGAGAAGCTTTGCTCAGGTGTCTGAGTGCTTCACCCTTCATAGGTTTGATAATTTTCTTTCCCTTATTTCCTAGTTGTTGGAGAAGCTTTGCTCAGGTGTCTGAGTGCTAGATATTCCAGTGTCAAAATGACATGTTATCTTAGCCATTTCAGTAACATCTAACTTAATTATGGACTTTCACGTACCAAGTTTTGAATGATGCTCCAAATAAACATAAATGAAATTCTGATTTTGTCACTTCAAGAGTTTAGTGACAATGATCAATCCATATAAAACTGGACCACACTTGAGTAATCTGAAAATCTTTCAAAAGTAGACATCATCATGAACCAATTGCATCAAAATTTCTGGAGTTAAGGCTTGAGTGTTAATCTTTTTAAATTCCTCCCACAATATTCTGATGTCCAGAATATTGCCCAGAGTACAGCTAAAAATTAATTTCTAAAACAGACGACTCAGTAGATCATTCACTTAGTCTAGCATTACTGTAATTGTAATCTGCTCTGAAACTTTTTCTAATCAAATCTAGCACATTTAACTAGCAACATTATTTATTATAACCCATTTTCTTCAATATTTAGTTGTGTAGCATACAGGGGAGGAAAAATAATTTTTTCCTTCACCCTTCATAGGTTCTTAGCTAGGACTCTCTGCAACAAAAGACAGATTAGCAAGAGAAAAACAAACAGAAGTTTAATAACATATACAGAGGCTGTCCAGTTAACTCACTTAGAGAGTGCGGTGCTCGTAACACCAAGGTCATGGGTTTGGATCCCCGGACTGGCCAGCTGTCTAAAAAAAATAATAAATTAAATTAAAAAGGAATAATAATAACATGTATACCTCCTCCGTACGTGGGAAATAACCCAGAGAAATGAAGAAATATCTAGAGACCATCTCAAAGAGCTGTCTTAAACTTCAGGTTTAAATTCCATTCCCTTCCGAAACAAAGGAAGAGGGTGTGAAAGGCCCTGTTAAAAGAGAAAGCCAGGAATAAGTCAGGTTTATTATACAGACTTAAGTCTGGTGCAGAGAGAGACACACTTACAAATGAAGATTTCCTTTACAGATGTAAACTGCTCTTTCAAAAGGGCAACGTCCAGCCTTTTATTCAGAACTACTGTTGTGTCTGCAGTTTCTCAAAATAACCAGTTCAAAATGATCCTTATGCCAAAAGACACATTTGCGTGGCATATTCTGGTCTCCTACAGTCATATTTTGGGGTGACATGTTTTAAGCCTTATCATGAATTGAAATAAGAATCTATATTTTTAATGATATATTTTAAATATTCTCCTTTTCTAATTCTATGTAACCATCATTACTATTTAAATATTTTATTAAAAATATATATTAAATTTGCTTAAAATGATATATGACTTAATAAGTGCATATTTCTCTAGCTTCAAATTATTTGGGGCAGTTCCCAGATGTACATTATGAAATCACGGAACAAATATTTGACATTTGGTGATATATAATTAATTTCACATTTTACTTAAAGTTATTTAAAAAGCCTTTTTATATGAAAGTTTAAACAACTGTTAAAATTTTCATCTGCACAAAGTAATTTTAGTGCATTCTTTTTTCAGATCTTAGACATTATGAGACATTCTAATATGCACATTACCAAACAGTGATTAAAAGCTCAAATTATTAAAATATCTTGAAGAATAATTGCTTTACTTTTTTATTTTATTTATTTATTTATTTATTTATTTATTTTTTGGCCAGGGGTATGGTGGCTATATTGCATCGATGATCTTAAAATCAGATGAAAAGCTTTTTAAATGTGGATCCGTGGTTGCACCTATCACAGATTTGAAGTTGTATGGTAAGAACTTCCTTAAGACTGACCTAATATAATGTATTGATTTGTAGAAAACAAAATCCCAATGCAGAGAAGCTCAACTGAGCTCATTTATCATGTGTTATTAGAGTCTGTTTGAGCTGTTTATCACCTCTCTTTTTCAATCGATTTTACTGTAGCATAACACTTGAGTGTGCAATGTGAAAATTAAATAATGAAATATGCTAAGCAAATGGTTTTTAGGTTATTTTTAAATTTCTGTTTTCTTGGGTCACAGCCTCAGCTTTCTCTGAAAGATACCTTGGTATGCCATCTAAGGAAGAAAGCACTTACCAGGTAACTAATTTAAAAATAACAAAGAAAGACTATTTTTGTTCTAAAAATTTAGAAAAAATACTTATACAGATAGGTCTGTCAATGTAGATATTTGTGATTTCCATTATAGGCCTCCAGTGTTCTACATAATATTCATGGTTTAAAAGAAGAAAATATATTAATAATTCATGGAACTGCTGACAGTAAGTATTGTACTTGCTGCTGCTGTTTGATGGGGTCTAACCTTTTACAAAGGAATACATCTAAGAACTTGCTTACAGGGGCCCCTATATACCTTCTGAAGAAGAGAGCAGAGTGGCACAAAGAATCAGATGCACGAGAGGCAATGGGAAGAAGGAATTCAGGGATAAGAGGAAAGGAGACCATGAACTTCAAATGGCAGCACTGCCCAGTGGAACATTCTGTGATGATGAAAATATTCTGTATCTTTGCTGTTGAACACAGCAGCTTCTAGCCACTTATGGCCATATTGTGTTCAGTTTGAATTTTTTAAATTTTACTTAATTTTAATTAATTTTAATTTAAATAGCCATAAGTGGCTGGTGATTATGGCTTCAGTGTTATTCAGCACACCATTGTGTTCAGTTTGAATTTTTTAAATTTTACTTAATTTTAATTAATTTTAATTTAAATAGCTATAAGTGGCTGGTGATTATGGCTACAGTGTTATTCAGCACACTTCAAATGGAAACCAACCTGGAAACAGACTGATAGACAGCAGAAAGGTGCGAGCCCTGAGATGCCATTGTGGTGAGGTTACCCACTTAAATGAAGTTAAAATAAAAACATGTTTAAAAAGACACTTTCTTATCACCTCTCACTTTTCATCACTTTAAACATTGGAAATGGATGTGATAGATAATGCTAGTAATAAATAATATTTTATATTCACAGAATCCTTTTAGGGATCAAGCCATTTATTTTATAATCCTCTGTGATACCTTACAGCAGAAGGCATAGTATTTATAGTCCCATTCACATTTGAGAAAAATCAATTTTAAGAAAGCAGCATATTTATCCAAGGCTACCTGGCAAGTGAGCCAAGGGAGTCAAAGTTTTGAATCAATGTTTCCTAAATCTTAAACTTGTTCTTGGTCACCTTGCCCTGCTTCAGTATTTTTTGACTGTTTTACATAGAAAATCACTAAAAACATTTTACAGCAAAGAACACACCATCTTTCCAACTTGACTTTCAAGCATGCCAGGCTGTTTTTAAATTAGAGAGCTTAGATCAGTGCTGATGTGTGCGTGCGTGTGTGTGTGTGCGCGCGTGTGTGTGTGTAAAATAAATGAATAAATGGAGGAGAAGAGACAAATCTCCCTTAAGAAAAATTGCAAATAATTTATGTACGTGCTTCTCCTCAGGGAAGCAAAGCTTAACTTCTCCCCCACCACCTTTAGGGTGGGTCGCGCTTAATGGTTTGCTCTACTGTACACAAAGGGATAAAAGAAATTGACAGTGGAGAAACTTGACAGATAACCAGCTCAGCCAGGTGATTAAGGTTTATATCAACAGTGACAAGTCATGTCAATAGTGGGTACCCGTGATGTGATATAATGAGAATGGTACTTTACTTCACTTTTTGGAAGGTTTAGTCTGCAAAAGCCATAACCCCAGTCTAAGCATGACAAAAAAATCAGTCAAACCCGAATGAGGAAGATTCTGCCAAATACTTAACCAGTACTCCTCATCCAAAACAAAAAAAGTCTGAGAAATCCTCAGAAACCAGAGGAGATTAAGGAGACATGATGTCTAAATATAATGTGGTGTACCGAAGGGTCCCTGGAACAGTGAAAGGACGCAGGAAACCCGAAGTGGACACCAAATAAAATAGGTTTAGTTAATGGAAGTAAACAAATGGTAGTTTCTTGTTTGTGACAAATGTTCCATAGTGTAAGATGGAAACTGAATGAGGGATGAATGGGGACTCTCTGCACTGCCTTTGCAACTTTCCTGAAAATCTCAAACTATTACGAAATTAAAAATCTGTTCAAAAGATTTAGGTGATACAGCACCATTGCTGGATGAAACATGATGAAAGAGAGTATAGAACTTTTGAAGGACATTAGAATTTTGTTCTAAGGTATTAAGACCTTCTGTATATGTTAATTATAATAATAATAAGCAGCAACTATTAAGTATTGACTATATGTCAGAAAATGTTCTAAAAGCATTTAATTTTATCTTATTTGTTTTTCACAAAAATACTGTACAGTACATATTACTACTCTTCTTATTTAATAGATGGGAACATAAATATTAGAAAATTATACGAGAGTACTTCAAAAAGTTCATGGAAAGATTTGTATTGTCTTTTAATTCCATTTTTCCATGAATATTTTGCAGTACCCTCATATAACTTGTCAAAAAGCACAGTAGTATTGATTAGTAGAAAGGGAATTTGAATCCAGGTATCGAGGCTCTTATTTACTGTGCTCTGAAGCCTCAGTTTTGTGAATAAATTATATTCGAGGTTAAATTATTTTATGTCTAACCATCACTCTGGAATATATTAGCGCTATTTCAAATTTCTCCGTCAATATGTTGTAGCTATTAGAATAAATCATGTTGTTTCTGTCTGACTCACTCATTCATCAGCCTGGTGCTTCCCCAACCTGATAAAATGCAAGCAGAGGTTCAGCCCTAGTCACTTCAGAGGAAATGTAACTATGTGTACACACAAGCACACACACACACACACACACACACACACACACACACCAATGCAAGCAGAGGTTCAGCCCTAGTCACTTCAGAGGAAATGTAACTATGTGTACACACAAGCGCACACACACACACACACACACACACACACACACACACACACTACACACAAGCGCACACACACACACACACACACACACACACACACACACACCACAACCTATAGGGGCTTGGTGGATAACAGATACTCAGAAATTGACATTATAATACCATCATTATTAATATTATCTTCAAAAATTACCAGCAAATCAGTTCAGCCAGCCAGTCAGACCTTTAATGTTCCTGTCTAGTTATAGGAAGGGACAAATGGCAAATGTCAACAGACTTTGCACTACAAACTAAGCAGAAAAAAAATCCAGTTGGAAACTCCATTTGTACATTTATCTTTTCAGCTGTATCCATACAGAGAAATAATGGGGTCTTTTCATATTTTTTCTACAATAAACGAATGAGTTATATAAGGGAACATTTTACCTCAATCATTACCCCTATTAATTTGCATTTCTAGTAGCTTTCATTAACACGGTAATTTGTACTTATTTAGAGTTGATGTGGTAATTTTCCCATCAAGTACAATAGGAAAATGTTAAAAAAAGACCTTGGGTATATTTTAAAAGTATTAAAATGATCATTTGGAATCTTTTGTTTT